TGGTGATGAAATGGTCTTACGGGGACCGCTGCTGACAAAGGGATTCTATTTCTCTTTCTTGGTAACCACATTGTGCTTGATGAGAAACAACCCCACCAATCCTGCCGATGGAGATTTGCCTCCCAAAGCAGCATTCAAAGCTTCTAGCATCAGAGTGGGCAGGGGTACACGCACCACAATTGAGATAGATGATGAGGAGGATGATCTGGTTCCTTTTGCACCATCCAGGAGGTCTGTTGACAGTGCCGGGCCCTCTCGGCGCCCCCATTCTGGAGCAGGCCTATCACGCTCACAGTCCTCCCGGCCTATGCTGCGCTCCTTGGAGGAAGAGGTCGCGGATCTCCGCACCTCGGTAGATGGCCTACACACGCGGATGGACGCCATGTCGCAGAGGCAGGCTAGATCTGAGAACCGGTTTATGGCCTGGTTACGTGCATTGGGAAGAGCTTGCCATGTAGACCCCAGCACCGTCTCCGACTCGGATTGAGTCTCAGGGAAGTCTTCTAACCCTTCTGCTCTTTACTTTCTTGATATGACATGGGGACATGCCATGATTTTAAGTGTGGGGTGGGAGACTTGCTCTAACTGTGTATTGTAATGTATATAGATGTTGTTGTGCTGTAGCATTAGAGTGATGTGTTGTATATATGTGAGTGTGTTATATTAGGAGTAGCTGACTTGGCCCAACGACGGACACTTGTTGACGGGTCTCTTGAGGGTCAAAGTGAGATATATAAAAAATAAAAATAAAAACAAAACTTGTAGAGGACTCTTCCTGATGACGGACTAGGTGGACAGTACTCTTGAGGGAAGTAGTCCATGTAGAATTTTTTTATTTTATTTTCTTCTTTTAGGTAGTGTAGTATCTCCCCCTTGGTTTTTCTTTTGACCACGGTTCTTTTCCAAGGGTTTTTCTTGAACCGGGTTAGGTAGATTTTTCTTTTGTAGTTTTAGGATTAGATGGGTGAAGGTCAGAATGTAACCCCAAATGTGCACACTTGCAAAGAAAAGAACTTGAGAGTGGACGTCTAAGCTTGTTTGTGGACTCATAATATATGCCTTAATTTTGCACATCTTGTCTTGCTTGAACACTCGTATGATTGTGTTGATGAACTGATTCGGAATGAGTTACATGCTAAGTGTGTGTGAGTTGTTACTTGTATCCTATGCTTGCATATGATACCTAGAACTTGCCCTGTGTGTGTGCGAAGCGAAATAGAAGTCGTTTGGTTTTAGAGATGATTGAGGCATTTCTTTGTGCAACCCTCTATACTTGAGAATCCACATGTGCATATTACCATAGTTAACCCCGTTGAGCCTGAAGTCTGTTCTTTGATAACCCTATAATGATCTAAATCGCTGTGTTTGAATAAGCTTAATTGTTTGAACCTTTACCTCCTAGAAGCACTTGAATCACTAAAGAATATACAAAAGTCAAAGTGTGGGGTGGGAGAGGGTTAGTGAAAAAAGGGAATCAAGAATGAAGGTTTTGATTGGTGAACTGGCAGTGTACAATAAATCTCTCCAAAAAAAAAGAAGAAGCCAGTTGTACCTAAAGAAAAGCGGGGGTCACAAGTGAAACAAAATGTGGAATAATGATTGGGTTGAACATGAAGGTGAAACAAAAGGAAGTGTGTATTAAAAGTGCTTAGGGAGGTTAGTCACTATATCCAAATATATCCTACCCGTCCCTTAGCCTCCTATAAAGACCTCTTGATCTTTGACTAAATGGCTCAATTAGTAGAGTATTACACTAGGGGCAAGCTTATGGTGTGTCTGTGTAGCATGTGCATGCTCTTTGCTGAGAGTGAGTGAATTCTTACTATATATGGTTCCTTGTTGTTGAATTTTATGTGTGTGGAACTTCTCTCAGATTTTGTTTATGTGAGGGCATGTGACTCAGGAAGAAAAAGTGAGTCTTCACTTCTGTTAGAGTAATTAGAGTGAGCACAAGTGTGTCTTGGCATGAGAGTCTGCATTTGAGATATGATTGTGCACTGCTTAGGTCGATCATTGATAATAGCAGGTGTGACATAAATTGGGGCAATGCATTGAGCAGTTAGGCCTAGAAGTGTGGTTTAGTTTGCTCGAGGACGAGCAAAGGTTTAAGTGTGGGGTGTTGATAATAGGTGAATTTGACTATAATCACACCTTAAATNGTATATATATGTATTATGCATTTCATGTCAGTAGCCCCCACATGCACTCAGATGTTACAGGTTGTATCTCCTCTATCTCTCTTTACGTTACTGATCTTGTTTATGCTTTCCTGCCTTACATACTCGGTACTTTATTCGTACTGACGTCCCTTTTGCCTGGGGACGCTGCGTTTCATGCCCGCAGGTCCCGATAGACAGGTTGATATTCCTCCTAGTAGGCTATCAGCTCAGCGAAGGTGTTGGTGCACTCCACTTGCTCCGGAGTTGCCTATTTGGTCAGTATGCTTTGGATATGTATTGATTGGTATAGCGGGGCCCTGTCCCGACCTTTATAATTTTATGTACTCTTAGAGGCTTGTAGACAGATGTCAGGTGTATGGATACTTGTATGGCCTTGTCGGCCTATGTTTTAAGTTTACAAATGGTCATGTCGGCCTTATAGGCCCGTATGTCACATGTATAAGTTTGTATATCATGCTGGGTCATCATACGTTAAGTATTCCCTTATGTTTTATTCTTGTTATCTCATGAAGGGTTTTCTATCTCATTTACCCATGATAGTATGATAAGAAAGATATGTTACGTTGGTACTCGGTTGAGTAAGGCACCGGGTGCCCGTCGCGGCCCTTCGGTTTGGGTCGTGACACTAAATTCCTTGTCTAAGGTTTTGATGGAACCTATTGGGTGATGAACTTCTTGTTTATGTGAATACAAATTGCTAGTTTAATCTCTATTTGTTCAACTTCGTGTTCGTTGTAGTTAATTGACAGGATCCTCAATTAGCTGTGCCTATTTAGTGTGCATAACTTGGAAAAGAGTGCATACTTAGGGTATTGTTGAACAACACCACTCCTATATTATTAGAGGAATCTATAATTGCGGCTTTAAAGGCGGGATTAGGGATAACGAAGCCTTGGGTGTAATCTAAAGTGAATCGTGCTAAATAAAGTAAGCTAGTGTATCTCGGGAGAGTGCAATAGTAAATTACTGTGATTACTCGGGAGAGATTTGCGGTAAGATTAGCGTTCATGATTGATAGAGATGTGTTGGTATATTTGTATGAGCATAAACAGAAGGGATTCCATCAATAGGGGAAATCATTGCCTTAGCTTTTCCTCATAATTGTTTACAACCTTATTAGTTTAGTTTACAGCTACTTAGTTACTTGCAAGCTAGTTGTTAAAGAACACTCAACTGAGATTTGAATATTTGGGAAGCTGGTTCTGAAGAATTAGTGGGTCTGAAGATAGTGGTTGATAGGTTAACTCTCTGTGGATTCGACCCTGGGCGTAATACTCGGGTTATATTTGCAACGTCTGCAGAGTCCTTTTTATAAGGCATAGTTGGGCGTGATCAGGAGGCGATTCTAGGATTTGAACTTTATGGTTTGACTTCGAAATTCTACCACAACCCGCTTGATTTACTAAGTTCAGAATCTGTTCTTAATACTTATTTAGTGGATTTTTTTACCACATATGCAGAGTTTGAACCAAAGTTACTGAGTTTGGACGAACCCATAACTAATGGACTAGGTCCGCCTCTAGCTAAAGTCTAGTCTTTATTGTATTAAAGGCCAAAATACCTTAGTCTGCAATTTCAATAACAATAAAGCTCCTTTTCAGCTGGCACACGGTTCAAAACTCAGTGGATAATGAACCCACCCCTCTACGTATTGCAATACTTCAAATTAACTTCGTCACATACAGTAGAAACATTCTTAATCAAGCTAAAATTAGTTAATCTACTGATCTAGTCTTAACTGCATTAAAGGCCAAAATACCTTATTCCGCAATTTCGATAACAACAAACTCCTTTTCAGCTGGAGCGCGGCTGAAAATTCGGTGGATAATGAGCGGCTGGAACTTCAGTGGATAATGAACCTGCCCCCTATGTGTTGCATTACTTCAAACTATTTATTACCACACTGTATAAAAATTCTTAATCAATCCAAACTGCAGTCTAGTCTTAATTGTATTAAACGCCTAAATACCTAATTGTAGAGAAAGATATAACATAAGTAAGAAAGGGTAGTTTAGTAATTTCATATAGATTAGGTTGTTAGTTACTAACCACCAATCCTAGAGTTAGTTCGCTCACTAATAACGGCACTATCTAGTTAGTTATAATTAGCTTAGTTATTTACAATTAGTCTATATATATATATACACTAGCTATGTAAATGANTATATATATATATATATATATATATATATATATATATATATATATATGCACTAGCTATGTAAATGATCAGATGAATAAAATCACTTTTCCCTTCTCTTAGCTCATCTCTTCTTCTCTCCGCTTCTTCCCCTTCTCTTACCTTCTCAACTTCATACTTTGGATTCAATCCAGAAACTATTTCATGGTATCAGAGCGGATCAGGCTAATTCAACAGCTTGAATCTCGATCCAACATCTAATTCCGCAAAATCAAAAGAAGTTCTGACTTCAGTTCTTGCTTAGGTCAATTCTTGAAGAAAGCTTGATTGCTATGGCGATTAATGAACAACCAGCTGTTGTTCCCCCTGTAATTCCGCCTGCAAATTCGAATCAAGGAGGTTTGCATGCAATCGATTACAATCATCCACTGTTTTTAAGCCCTTCAGATGTTAGTGGCATTCAAATCATATCTTTTCAACTAACTGGGATTGAAAACTATTCCTTATGGTTTCGATCTATGAGAATGGCGCTATTAGGAAGAAATAAGTTGGGTTTGGTGGATGGTACATGCACAAAAAAATAATTCCCAGAAAATCTGTGAAATCATTGGGAAAGAGTAAATGCTATTGTGCTTTCTTGGTTGATGAATTCTGTGAGTAATGGGTTACTTGGTGGTATAATGTATGCCTCAAGTGCAAAGGCTGTGTGGGATGATTTGCATGAAAGGTTTGATAAAGTGGCTGGTTCAAGATCGTACAATTTACATAAAGAAATTGCTACACTTAGTCAAGGAATAGCATATGTTTCTGCTTATTTTTCGAAACTGAAAGATTTGTGGGAGGAATTTGAAGCACTGGTTCCTGCACCTGAGTGTGACTGTCCAAAATCAAGAGAGTTTGTTGTTCACTTGCAAAAATTGAAGTTGTTTCAGTTCTTGATGGGGCTAAATGATTCCTGCAGCCAGGCTAGAAGTCAAATCTTGCTCATGAGTCCAATGTCAACGGTTAATCAAGCATATGCCATGGTGATTAGTGATGAGAGCCAGAAATCAGTTGCAGCAAATGCTGGCTTACTAGGAGCAAATCCTACATCTGGAACTAGTCTATTTGATATGGCAATGTATACTAAAACTGGGGGAAATTATTAGAAAACTAGAAAAAATTTCAATATATTCTGTGATGTGTGCAAAATGAAAGGGCATTCTAAAGAAAATTGCTATAAGGTTATAGGCTATCCTCCAGAATATAGACAAAGAAAGAAGAACACAAATACACACAGTGCATATACTGTGCTATCTGATGTCAGTGTACAGGGTAATCAATTACCTAGAGGAAATTGGAATGAGAATTGTTTACAAAATTCTCAATTAACAAGCAGTGCTGTGAGTGCTAATAATTCTCAAAATTTTGGTCAAATGGAAAATACACCTTGGATGGGAAATTGCACTTTCACAAAAGAGCAGTATGACCATATTGTGCAACTACTGAACAAAGACAATTCAAGTGTTGCAACACCATCAGCTAATGCTGCCTCTACTACAGCAACACCATCAGTTAATGCTGCAGGTATTCCTTGTGCCTTATTAGCCTCTAATAGCCTACAAGAATGGATCATAGACACAGAAGCTACAAATCATATGGTAGCTGATATAGAACTGTTAAATGAAGTCTCTCTAATGCAAACAAATCAGTCAAAGAAAGTACATCTACCAAATGGAGAAACTACTCAAGTTACTCATATTGGAACTAGTACCTTAACAGATCAAGATATAATAACTAATGTATTTTACATCCCTCAATTCAATATAACCTCGTGTCTGTCTCTAAATTAACTAAGGAACTGAAATGCTCAGCTGCTTTCTTCCCTGATTTTTGTATATTTCAGGAACTCTTCGGTGGGAGGGTGAAAGCGATTGGTAAAGAAGACAGTAGTCTATACATTCTCAGTAGACAAAAATTACCAAGAAATAATGCAATTAGTTTAAACACTAAGGAGACAGAAATCAGTAAAGAGACTAATTCAAATGATATTGAACTATGGCATAGAAGACTTGGACATGTGTCTGCTACTATTCTCAAGAAGCTATTTTCTACAAATGCACAAGATATATCTGCTAAAATAGATCTATGTACTACATGTCCTTGTGCAAAGCAAACAAGGCAACCCTTTCCTATCAGTAGTATAAAAACAGCTGCTAGCTTTGAATTAGTTCACATGGATGTATGGGGTCCTTACAAAATACCTACTATGGATGGTAATAGGTTCTTTCTAACTGTAGTAGATGATTTCTCTAGAATGACATGGATTTTCTTGCTGAAATTGAAATCTGATGTATGTGTGATTGTACAACAATTCTTTACTTTTGTCAAAACTCAATTTGGAACTACAGTTAAAACAGTGAGAACAGATAATGGTACAGAATTTGTTAACTCAGTTTGTGAGAACTTCTTTAAGAATCTAGGAGTGATTCATCAAAAGATATGTCCTTATACTCCTCAGCAAAATGGAGTAGCTGAGAGAAAGCATAGACATATACTAGAACTTACTAGAGCTATCAGATTTCAAGCTAATATACCTATCAAATTCTGGGGTTATTGTGCTCTTGCTGTAGTATATATCATTAATAGGCTGCCTAGTTCTGTCATTGGAAATAAAAGTCCATATGAAAGGATGTATAATAAGAAACCTACATTACAACATCTTAAAGTTATAGGCTGTTTGTGCTATGCAAAAATAGTTAATCAAAATGATAAGCTAATGCCTAGAGCAAAACCTGCTATACACATGGGATATGCTACAACCCAAAAGGGATATGTATTATATGATTTAATAGATAAAAGTTTCTTTATAAGCATAGATGTCAAGTTTAGAGAAGACATATTCCCTTTTAGAAACAAACAAGACAACAATAAATCTTTATTTGTCCATCCAAACATAACAGACTTACTTTTACATAACACAGATCCAACAGCACAAGCTACAACTTCAGAAAATAATATGTATTCAAATGAACAAGAAAATAATGTTATGTCAGAAGTGATACAAGAATACACACAACAATATGAGAATACTCCCACAGAATCTACTCAAACTAACAACCAACAAATATCAGCTACACAACAAAGAGATCAAATCTCACAACCAATAAATGTCAGAAAATCAGGAAGAGGAAAGAAACCACCTATATGGATGAAAGATTTTGTGTCATTAACTGCTCAACAGAATGAACCCTATGCCATATCAAAATTCATAACCTATGATCATCTAACTCCTAAGTATCAAGCCTACTTCACAGCAGCTTCAAATATCAGTGAACCAACTCTATATTCTGAAGTTGTAAAGGACCCTAAATGGATAGATGCAATGAAAGCAGAGATTGAGGCACTACAAAATAATCATACATGGGACATAGTAACTCTGCCCACTGGTAAAATTCCTGTTGGGTGCAAGTGGATTTACAAGATTAAATATAAGGCTTCTGTTGAAATAGAAAGATTTAAAGCTAGATTAGTAGCCAAAGGTTTCAGTCAAAAGGAGGGGATAGATTATCAAGAAACTTTTTCTCCAGTCATAAAAATGAAAACTGTAAGAACTATATTAGCTATAGTTGTTGCAAGACACTGGCATATACATCAAATGGATGTATATAATGCATGCTTTCTTACAGGGAGACTTACTGGATGAGATCTATATGCAACTACCCCAGGATTCACAAGTCAGGGGAAGAATAAGGTATGCAGACTTGTGAAATCTCTATATGGCTTGAAACAAGCTCCTAGACAATGGAATGCTAAACTGACAAAAGCACTACTGAAGTCTCAATTTCAGCAAAGTCAACATGATCAGTCTTTATTTTTTAAGAAAACTGCAGAAGGTATCACAATGGTATTAATCTATGTAGATGATATGCTTGTGACTGGTGACTCTCTGAAACTAATAGAGGAAACAAAAGCACATCTGAAATAGTCTTTCAAAATGAAAGATCTAGGGGAATTGAAGTACTTTCTAGGCATAGAATTTGCAAGATTAGAACAAGGGATTCTTATGCACCAGAGGAAGTATGCACTGGAACTGGTTTCTGAAACAGGAGTTGCAGCTGTCAAACCATCTATAACACCTCTTGACACAAATATGAAGCTTACAACTACAGAGTATGATGAACATCTAAAGAAAAACAAGTCAACTGCTCAAATGAATGAAGAATTGGCAGATCTAACTTCCTATCAAAGACTGATAGGCAAACTCTTATATTTAACAATGATCAGGCCAGATATTTCATTTAGTGTTCAAACACTAAGTCAATTCCTCCAAAGAGCAAAGAAGTCTCACATGGAAGCAGCTCTAAGAGTTGTCAAATACATCAAAAACAGCCCAGGGCAAGGAATTCTACTTTCAAGCAAATTAAACAATACTATCTCAGCATACTGTGATGCAGATTGGGCAGCTTGTCCTTTTTTAAGAAAGTCTGTTTCAGGTTACCTAGTTAAGTTTGGAGGCTCTCTAATATCATGGAAATCCAAGAAACAAACTACTGTTTCTAGAAGCTCCGCAGAAGCTGAGTATAGAAGCCTTGCAACAACTGTTGCAGAACTCATTTGGTTGATTGGTCCGTTAAAAGAAGTGGAAGTTGAGGTCAAATTACCAGTTGAAGTGTTTAGTGACAGCAAAGCTGCAATTCAGATTGCAGCAAATCCTGTTTATCACGAAAGAACAAAGCACATCGAGATCGACTGTCATTTCATCAAAGAAAAAATTGTACAAGGACTTATCAAAACAACATACATATCTACCAAGGAGCAACCAGCAGATATGCTAACCAAAGGTCTCAACAAGGCTCAGCATGAATATCTTTCTTCCAAGCTAGGTGTTCTTAATGTGTTCTCAGTACCTAGCTTGAGGGGAGTGTAGAGAAAGATATAACATAAGTAAGAAAGGGTAGTTTAGTAATTTCATATCGGTTAGGTTGTTAGTTACTAACCACCAATCCTAGAGTTAGCTCACTAATAACGGCACTATCTAGTTAGTTATAATTAGCTTAGTTATTTACAATTAGTCTATATATATATATACACTAGCTATGTAAATGATTGGATGAATAAAATCACTTTTCCCTTCTCTTAGCTCATCTCTTCTTCTCTCTGCTTCTTCCCCCTCTCTTATCTTCTCAACTTCATACTTTGGATTCAATCCAGAAACTATTTCACTAATTACTCAATTTCAATAACAATAAATATCCGTTTCTATATATTTCCATTTCCGCATTATAATTACATATTTCACAAATTTAATTATGAACGAAAAAACTCAAAAACTGGTAAATTTTATATACATTCCAGCTCGATCTCAACAAAGCCACAAAATTTACAGAATATCTCAGAACATACATTAATTAAAAAAGCACAGCTCCAGCAAAAAAACAAAAACATAAAAATAAAAAAATAAAAATTTAAAAAAAACAAAAATAAGAACGTACCGTAAACTCTCTCGCTGATCTCCAATAGTCCATCAGGCGGCTTCCTATAAAACAATTTCCTTAGCAGTGCCATTGCCGCTTATTTTTCAATTCCAAAAAAAAAAAAATCTATATAAATTTATATATATTTCTATATATACAATATATGTGCGTATATGTATGTGTATATTTGTACGTATATGTGTGTGTATATTTTTGTGAATCTCTGTGTGTGTAATTGAAATGGAAAATTGTTGAAGAAGAAAAGTGGGGGAAAGGAAGAGAAAGCTTAGAAGCTGAGAGATCGGCTAGCGAATAAAGAGGAAGAAATCTGAACTCGACAATGGACACGTCAGATTTTATTTTAAAACGTGTACGTCGCGAATGCATTTAGGACAAATTTAGAAATAAGGCAAACGTAGACTTTGGGAAAGAAAAGTTTTATCTTCTAGTATTTCAGATATATCCAATATTGGAAATTGGAAGTTTGTCATAAAATTAAAATGGGAAATAATCTTTTTAAGTTTATCCATATTGGAAATCTTTTTATTTTTATTTTTCATGTGTATACCTATTAGTTTGGGATTGATTACTTCAGATTCCCGTTTAGAAATTCTACTTTAAAAGTAAAATACTAGACTATTAAAAGCAACTTTATTCGAAGGCTCAAACATAAAAATTCTTATTGAGGATGA